ATTATTGATTTTAATTTTTAAATTCAAACCAGAACTGGAAATATAAACAATCATGCCAAGAGAATTTGTAAAAACAATTATTTCAATCCAAACAATACACATTTCAGTCAAAACACATTAAGTGGCAAGACCACTTTACTTTGAACTTTAAACTCAAACATTCTCTGGCTTGCACATAGATCCATGATAACTGAATGGAATGCTGCAGATAACTCGCTTAACTTAACATGTTTAACCTCGGAACAAAACAGATGCCCTGTATCTGACTAATCAAACTCATCTTCAGAGTCACAATTCTGGCACACATAAATTGCCTGGCCTGAGGTGCAAGCATCATGGGCCCATTTGTTGCATTTTACCCAGGTCTCTTTTGGATGACTGTTTGAAAATGGCTCCACACAGACGAGGCAGAAGCACTCTTCATCATCTGATGATGACTCTTGTATGATTTTTCTTCTTTTAGCTGCCATTACGGGGAAATCGTGGCCTAATGGTTAGAGAATCGGACTCCTAACCCAAAGGTTGCGGGTTTGAGTCTCGTACCGGCAGGGATTGGATGGAGGTAAGGGAGTGAATGTACAGCGCTCTCTCCACCTTCAATACCACGACTGAGGTGTCCTTGAGCAAGGCACTGAACCCCCAACTGCTCCCCGGGCGCCGCAGCATAAATGGCTGCTGTGTGTGTGCACACTTTGGATGGGTTAAACGCAGCACGTCAGCTAAAATATCAAAAGACACGTTATTGTCTCCTCTATTTTGTGCAAAATAATCATTTTTAACATTCATACATTATTTCCATCTGCTTTAAAGGAATACCGGTTAAACATTTAATTCACGTGCTGTTCTGCATGCGCTTTTTCTGAGTGCGTACTCAAGAAGCGCGCTCACACTGAGAGCCTGTCAAAAAGCACCTGATTATTGGACTAAGTTGTCTGATTGATTTTGCGTCTAATACGGTCAAAAACACTCAAGGTTTACATATAAACACAGTTGGTTATGTCTGAAATGAAAGTAAACAGTTGAGAGAGAAACCGTGAAGCTCTTAAAGGGACAGTAGCTACTAAATATGCTGCTGCCTGTCATTAAAGGGATAGTTCACCCAAAATATTACATTTCTGTCGTTATTTACTCACTCACATTTTGTCCCAAACCTGTATTCATTTCTTTCTTGTGCTGAACACAAAAGAAGATATTTTGAAAAAATGTGAGTATGTGATAATAAACATATCTGTACATTTATCTAAACAATTAAATTTTTTCCTATACATCTATTTCTGTATATAGTACATTATTCAATTTTTCTTTTTTTATTATTTTATTTATTTTATAAGTCTTATCTTACATCTTTATTGTGTTATTCCCATGAATATCTACACTATCTACATCCCTACTGTGTTATTCCTATGTATGTCTACACTATCATGTATGTCTGCACTATGTTTGTACTTTCTTCTGCACTGGAAGCTCCTGTCGTCAAGTCAGATTCCTTGTGTGTGTAAACATACTTGGTAATAAAGCTCTTCTGATTCTGATTTAGCCTTTTAAGTATGTTGTTAAAATGCACGTTTTTATTCTTATGATTTTTTTTAAAAGAAAGTCCTTCCACTCTGTCATGCTGCATTCCATTAGCATTCATTCTATAAATATTAGCTGATAAAATCATCTAAGATAAGCCTTTGTTGTTTCATTTGTTGCAATGTTAAAAAATCATGTCATGTGGTAAAAAGGGCAAAACATACAAAGAATGAACCAATTGTATTACTTAGTGTAGTAATATCACATTATTTAGCAGTTTCAGTGGAGAAAATATGTTCTCTGTTTTGAAAAGAGACAGCCGTATTTAATTCAGCACCTGTTATTAATTTAATGCCTTCATAAAGCTGTTTGCAGCAAAACCGTGACTTCTAGTCTTGCTGTAACAGCTGTGTTGTTTGCTCTTTGCTCAACGAGCTGTGGCAAGATACTTGTGTAACATAGCACACAATGACACTTCGGTTGACACAGACATAATTTTGCCTTCCCCCATCTGACTCATTCTCTCTGTCTGACAGGACATTGGTGAAATGGTGCACACAGAAAGATCCGACTGGCAGAGTGTCATGATCTACGTGACGGCCATCTATAAGTATTTTGAGACCTGAGAATCTTCTTGAACGGCTGCAGTCGGTTCACCTCCCTTGCTGCGGCCAAGATGCTACAAATTTCCCAGATGCCTTAGCTGCGAATGGGGGACTTACCCACACAACTTACTGTTTCCTCCAGTGTGTTCCCAGAATCCTGTATAGCTGCTGAAACGAGCCAGATCCTACTAAGCTTCTCTGAACATCAGTGCTTTTGAAGAGAAGTGGGAAGTCGGTGGGATCATGAGCCAACAACTTCCTTTTAAGAACATTGCAACACTATTTAAAGTGTATTGTGCCAACCGAGCAACAAAAATGTGTATCTCTGAAAACGATTGACTTTGAAAGTTGGCTTGTTTTATAGTTTTGTCATAAGGATGCCCTCTGTATGCCAGTATTGGTCTTAGATTATCAGTATTTATTCCAAAGAGTGACGCCACAACAGGCTTCGCCCACAAAAATGGCGTTTTTGAATTTTCTTTAGCCTGAATAAGCTTAAATCTGTCTTGTTTGATTTATTAAAAAAAAATTCTAATAAAAAAAGACAGGGCTCCTTAAAGGAAGAGTTCACCCTAAAATAGAAGTTTGCTGGCAATTTACTCAATATGTAGAGGAGTTTATTTCTTCATCAAAAAAGATTTCAAGAAATTTAGCATTTAGCAATCACTCGCCAATAGATCCTCTGCAGTAAATGGGTGCCGTCAGAATGGGTTTATTTCTTACAAACATTGTTTTCTCTTCACAAGATGTTAATTGAAGGATTACTTGTGGATTATTGTGATGTTTCTATCAGCTGTTTGGACTCTCATTCTGACGGCACCCATTCACTGCAGAGGATCCATTGGTGAGCAAGTGATGTGATGCTAAATTTCTCCAAATCTGTTCTGATGAAGAAACAAACTCCTCTACATCTTTGATGTCCTGAAGGTAGCTACATTTTCTGCAAATTTCGATTTTTGGGTGAACTACTCCTTTAACATTCAACTTGGTTTTGTTGATATCAAAATGTGTTTTTATTTTCATACACTAAACGAAAGCTAATTATGAATCTAATATGTAATTTGTAATGAAGCTGTTTTTTCCCTCAATGCTCATTCCAGCTGATCTTCCATCACTGAAAATGCTGCAGGACGTTTTTTCTGTTTGAAATATCAGCACAAATGAAATGCACGGCTGCTTGTTTTCTGTTTTACAGGATATTTTTCTGCATTTCAGTCCTTTTTGTCTACGCACTACTAATCCTTATTTGACGCCTAAAGCCAGCTGGGTTCTGGAAGCTTGCTGATTCAGATTGAGTTTGTCTTATGGGTGTAAAAGCACAAATAAAAAAGGCTGAATGTATATTCACTGGTATGAAATGTGAAATAAGATGACCACAATCCATCCGCACTGTCAGCTCATGGTTAAATCATGCATTGTACCTCTCCCATTATATACTGTACGTCTGTCAAAGATAAGCCTCTGCACGCAAAGCCTTACATGGAAAAGGAAAAGCCAATAGCACAATTGATGTTTTAGATAAACTTGCTCTGCTGTCTTCAATGCACTGCTGTTTTAATATATTTGTTTTGTAAATTTGAGACCTCTTCGAAGGGATCAAGTGGGTTGCAGCAAAATTATTCTGCTAATCACAGCAGTTCAAAGTGAATTTTATGTCAAGGGCATGTCATGTTTCTGCAAAGCTATAATTTATTCCATTTAAGCTACAGAGAGCTCTGTCGTGTTTTAAATGATAGATTTTGTTTGAGAATCCTCTGTGGTGCATCGGTTTGTTTATATGTGGAAATGTCATTG